CCCCCGGCCCTGCCTGAGAGCAGCAGGGTGTTGCTCTGCCCCCTCGCCAAGGAGCCGCTCGCCCGGGGATCTCAGAGTCTTCGCGTGGCGTTACGTGGAGGGGGCCCCAAACGGCCCGACGCCTTACACAGAGCAGGCGTGAGACCAGGGTTCATCTTGCTCCCTTAGCGTGGCTAGCTTCCAGAGAAGGTTACCAAGAGGTTTCTCCCTTTTTTAAGGGTTCGGTGTGGTTTGAGTCGGGGAAGATGCTCGGCGTCTCCCCGCCCCGTCACACAGCTGGAGAAGGGTTCAGTGTCACTCGTTGAGTGTTTCCCCCGACGTCCGGCTGCTGCCGCGGGCAGCACTGAGCTGTGCTGCGAATGCAGAGACTTGGTTGCCGGTGTGGAACGCCCCAGCCCGTGTCTGCCACGCACCGGGGTGCTTTCGGTGCTGAGCACCGTGCCCAGGCGATGGGGGCTCGCTTGAGTTCCTCCGCTGCCGGCTGTGTCGGGAGCCACGTGCTTGGCAAGGGGTGGAAGCACCTCCCGGTGCATGGCTTGCAAAGGCCCCGAGGCAGGGGGGTTTTCAGAGCATTCTCAGATTTTTGGTGCCACTCAGTGTGATCTTTATTTGGTAGGACCTTTGAGAGATGCTGGAGTGCTCCTGGAGAGCTTATACCTCTGCTCCTAAATCAGTCCTGTATTTATCTGAGGGTTTTAAGCTTTTACTGTTGTCATTACATTTTCCTGGCAAATTTTGCTGAGCGGAAGATGTTATCGAAGATGAGTGTCTTCCCTCAGTAATGAAACGGGCCTCCTGTTGAGTGCAGCCTTTTAGAAAGGGCTGGAAGTGAGCAAAATAGGATTTAGCCTAAGTAATGCAATAGCTAATCAGCTATTTAGAAGCAATAACCCATCCAGTTCTAATCTATATTTAAAAAAAGAGTAGCTATAAGATCTCTCGGCTGATTTATCAAGGCCTTGGGTAGGAATACGACCACTGTTTCTGAATATCAGAGGGAAGCTGCGGTGCTGGCTGCGGTGCTGAGCCTCTGGCTTGCAGGGGCTGAGCCTTTGCCGATGGGCTGGTACGGCCCAATCTCCGGCTCACGCCTGCATCCTCGGTAGGATCGTACGGCAGCGTTGTTATTGATCTTTTCTGCTCTTGGTTACTTTAAGCTGTGGATTAGGTCACAGAATAGGAAAAGCAGCAGAATGTGAGAAGCTTTCCAGCTGCAGGCGGAGAGCAGACGTCCCTGCCAGCAGTGCCCTCTGACCGGTCCCACGGCCTCACAGCACCCCCCCCCCGTGGGTTCCCCGCCCAGCTCCCCCCTCCCAGCCTCACCGTTACCTGTCGTTACATCCGTTACGGTTGGATTATTTGTTAACGGGAAAAATGTTTGTTACCTGATGCGTAAGGGCACAGCGCGGATGGGCTGAGATAGGCGGGGTGGCCTCCCTGCCCTACATGCGATGGTTGCGTTTCTGCCGTGCTGCACGTGCAAACGGTGGGTGTATCGGGGGGCGGAGGGGCCTGCCTTGCAGTCGGTGGGTGCATTTATTTCCAGGAATGAAAAGAAATTGTGGAAGTGTTTGAGAAGCAGCTCCATGTTGTCCCTGATGAGAGAGAAATAGAGCCCGGGGGCTCCAGCATCTCTGTGGGCAGCTGGTTTGGTGATGCTCTGGTTCCTTCAAAAAAAAAAAACCAAAAAAGAGGAGGGGAAAAAAAGATTTTAAAGAATAAACCCCTTTCAACCTCATGCTCAAGTGACCTCTCGAAAGGCGTGTTGAGTTAAACCTTGTCAGCAGAACCTGGTGAACCCTGAGCAGCTCCGCAGGAGCGTGGCTGCGCGTCTCCAGGCTGACAGGGCAGCCCAGGTTTGGCCTTTGAAGCGAAAGATCTCTTAGAAGGCAGAGGTGCAGTGGGCCTTCTCCCCGGCGCTGGAGCTCGCTGAGCTGGAGCTCGAGGCGAGAACCCTGACCGGGAGGCTGAGCCCCGCCGGGTCCGTTCCGCTGTTTGCTCTGCTAGCGGGGTCCTGCCCGGAGCTGCGCGGGGAGCGCGGGGTGGTGAGCTCCTCCACCCGCTGCCACGCACACTAACTGCCCTGATGTCTTTTGTCTCCTTTACCTCGTTCTCTGCTGCATCTGCTGCTGCGCTGCTGCGGTCTGTCCCTCTGCTCCTGTCTGTCCCTGTATGAATGTCTCTCCTCTGCCTTCCGCTCCCGTTGCCCTCCAGACCACCGCCCGGCGGCCCAAGGTGAGCAGCTGCGGTCGGGGGGCACCGAGCACCCCCGGCGTGTTAAATCGGGGCTCGTTGGGCGCTAACCCAGACGTGCGTTTTCTGTTGTCCTCCCAGCTCGGCGTGCAGAGCCTGGAGGAGCTCACGGGAGCTCCAGAGGAGCTTTGTGCTCTTGGCCAGAGCTCCCGTGACGGCGTGGAACGTAAAAGCGGTGTAGCGATGCCCAGTCCGGCTGGCTGGCAGAGCACGCTGCTTGGCGGCCCTCTTCGTGGTGCTGCTGGCTTCTCCCTGCCTGCCCTTTCACGCTGCACTCCAGGGAGGGCTTTCTGTTCACTGGCGTTACGGGAAGCTCACACCAGGGCAGGGGCGGATTCATTCCATCCCAGGGCAGCTGGGATCCCGGCTGCCGGGCACCTAGCTTTCCCCTCCGGAAAAGATCTCGTTAACTGTCGCTTTGGCAGCGTAGGGCAGAGCCCCGGCTGAGATCGGACTTCATGGCGGGGGGGAAATATTTGAACACAGTGTCAGGAGGAGAGGCCACCGCTCCTTCCATAGGTTAAAATTTCCCCTGAAGGAAATCCCCTCTGCCCCCCCAGCGCTTGAGGCACGCAGGGATTTTGCTGTGAGCCCAGGGATGCGTTTGCAGTGAGGCAGAGAAGTGAGCTCAAGGGAAGCAGCTTTTGTGCGCTGGTGGGGACTTTCAGCCGGTTTCCAATCCCTTTGCCAGGGCACGTCCTGCAGAGCTCTCAGCAGATCGCGCTTGAACGATGTTCTTGTTCTCCGCAGCCTGTGGTGGAGAGCAGCCGTGAGCGGAGGTCCTGTGTGACCTCCTGCTCCTTTGGCCTCACATCTACGCTGGGCAGGAGGTGATGGGGTTGAAGAGGCCCCCACACGCCTGTTGGGACCAGAGCTGTTGCCACGTTGACCGGCTGCTCTGGCACTCCGCAGCGTTGAGAGCCCCTCTCAAGCTGTTCCATCCCATTTTGGTTGGGCTCACAGATGTGTCCACACCAGACAGACAGTTGTCAGGCCGCTTTCTCTGGCAGCTTGGACCTGCCAGGGTGGCTGGGAGTGGGTTTTCAAGAGGAACCATCAGTGAAGTTGGCCGGTAGCTGTGCAGAGGGCTCCAGGAGATGCTGTGCTGCAGTTTGGCCCTTTCTGGAAGAGAGCATGTCCCTTGGACCTCCCCTGAGCCCGACTGCCAAGGTTGAGCCACAGGTCTCCAAAGCTTTCTAGCTCTTCAGGTGCAATGAGCAGCGGGACCGTACCAGCGTGTCCCTGGCCGTGCTGCTCCGTCTCCACAGAAGGTTTTTAATCCCCAGAGCAGCAGGAACAAGAACAACGCCCTTGTCCCGAGCAGCGTATTTCTTGGAGGGCAGCGCGTGGGGCTTGGTGCCACGGAGACTGTTCCCAGCCTGGGGCTCACGCTGGCCCCGGGAGAGCCCGGGATGGCGCCTGGGAGGGGAAGGCTGAGCTGCCTGCCCGGCCATGGGGCGTTCACCGACTGCAGTCGGCTCAGCTCAGATTTGCCCAAAACAGGCTAGGAGTTGGCAGAAGGTCCAACTGCAGCATGGCAAGCGAGCGCCTGGCTCCCGCCACTTTAGCGGGCGGGCGCAGCGGTGTCGATGCTGCACCCGTCCTGGCAGTGCCAGTGCCCGGCCAGCTTTAGTTGAGCCACGCGCCTTGCAAAACTGCAATGCACCAAAAAGCCAATCTCGAGGAGTAAAATAAAAGGTCAGGAAATTAATTTACACAGCGCTAGATGCCACCGAGGTAAGCGCTCCAGAAATACAGGTCTGTGAGGAGAACAACGGAGGTTTCCGGTGGACCCAGTGCTTTCCTGGGCTCTGGTGAACTCTTGCTACTCTGTCATCTTCTGTTCTCCTAAAATTCGGTGCTTCGTCACCCCAGCTGGTGTAGCTGCAAACAGAGGGTGCACACTTGGATGCCTGCCGCGGCACGTCCCCAGCGAGCTGCCCGTGGCACTGGCACACGTGCGTGGGCACGCAGACACAGCAGCACCTGACGCAGGCTCCTGCCAGTGCTGAGCTGCAGATGTGTCCAGATGTGGAGGATGGACAGGGGCGAAACCTTCCCCGCTCCCGTCTTGGTGTGCTTTGGGGTTGTGCTGTCTCATCCTCTGGAGCTGGAACCCCAAAACCTCTGAGCGTGTTTCCACTCTGCAGACGCTAGCGAGGACCCCCGTTAGTGCCCGCTCCAGTGCCCTCCGGCATGGCACGCTCGCGTGGCGGGCAGGGTCTGCCCTCTGTCCCGGCCCCTGGTGTGTGAGCTGGCCTTGCCGTGAAGGGCAGGGAGACGGGTCTGCACCCGCAGCAGCAGCGTGGGTAGATGTGGTAGCGCAAGGAAATAAATGCGACAGGGTTTGTAGGGAGAGGCAATCTTTTATTGTCCCTGCTAGTGCAGGAGGGAGGAGATGGACTCCTCCCGTCTCTGGCCTGAAGCAGGACTTGTGTCCTCAGAAAAAGATCCGGTTTGGTTTTTTAACGATGTCAGTGGTGTAAGGGAATTTTACCTTTCCCTTCAACAACTGATTACCGGTGAGTTTTGGCCAAGCCAGACTCCTCCGGGCGCAGCGTAAGACCACAACGTTCACGCTGCCGGGCAGTCTCTGCAGTCCTCGGCACGCTGCAGGTCTGGGAGCAGCACGGGCGCGGATGTGCTCCGTCCGGCCAGAGCTGTTTTGCCCTTGATGCCCCCGCTGTCACCATGCTCCGGGTTTCATCTGTGCCAGAAATGCAAGTCTGGGAGACAGTGGCTGACCTGGAGAAACACCCTGGCGAAAGGAAACCAGAGCTGAAGTGGTGTTGAAGAGCACAGGGAGATGGACCGGTCGTGGAAGCATCGTCCCCTTGAAACATGCTCATCTGACTTTCTCCCTTGACCATCTTGTTTTGCAGCCCACCCGGACCCCCAATTCTGCGGCATCCAGCGGCACGGCCGGGCCCTCGGGCTCAGCCTCTGCCTCCGGCGGGGAGATGAGCAGCAGCGAGCCCAGCACGCCTGCTCAGACGCCGCTGGTGGCCCCGGTTATCCCAACTCCCTCCCTGACCTCTCCGGTGGCACCTCCGGTTCCCTCACCCACAAAGGTAAGCTGCGGCCGAGGTAAGCCTGTGGCTCTGCCGCTGTGTGGGGGGGTAACTCCCAAGGGGAGGAGGAGGAGGAGGAGGGAAAGGGGAGCAAGAGCTTGTGTGACCACCCGTAAGGGTCTGCGGGGTTTAGAGACTACGGTCTGCGGGAGGAGCAGAGCCGCTGGGGACAGAGGGGAGCGTGCGGGGCTTGGCGGGGAGCTCGCCCAGGGGCCGACGCACCAAAGCTGGCAGGACGCTTCCGAGGAGAAGATGCCGTAGCTTAGTTCGGTTCCCGATGCACGTTCGTCCTTCCCGGGTCCCCACGTGGCAGCAGAGCAGTTTGGGGCATGAAGGTGCTGGGGGTCAAGGCTCCAGCGGGAGCGTGAACGTGCCGGTGAGGGGGGGGCTCGACAGCGTTAAATCCAGAGGGGACCTGCCCGCTCCACCCACCGCCCTTGGGTGAGCTGGAGCCGATGTGCCAGTGCGCTTGGGAACGCTCCTGCCTTGAGGTACAAAACCCCTTGGAGAGGTCCAATGTTTCCCAAACTTGGATGTTTCTAATAATTATATCAGCATAGTTATTCCATTTTTGATCTTTAAAATAGTTTTTCATTACTTCCGTCCTGCTTTGTATTAATTAGATAAAATTAGAGCTTGTGAGAGATTTGGGGCACGAGGGCAAAGAATGAATAGCAGGAGAGGGCAGAGAGCTCGCACAGAGGTTGTGCATCGAGGGGAAAGGCATCGCTCAGTGGGAGGAGGGGACGTCCCCACTCCCCCCAGGTGCCCACGAGGACCCTGCTAACGGGTTTATCTACCTGTGCAAAACCTGTTCTCCTGATAGATTCGGTGGCATCTGTACGTCCAGGGTCGGGAAGGCAGCAGGGGAGAAATCCGTGTGGTTTTCCTATGCTGCTTGACATTGCGCAGGAATTGTTTTTCCAAATCTGTTCCTTAGTGTCACCCGGTTTTGGGATTTTAAGCTCTAGTCACGGGGCTGCTTTAACCTTGAGCTGCGGCCAAGGGGGGGTCACGTCCCCTTCTCCCACCCTCGCTCGCGCTGTTTGCCCAGGTACCGCTGCGCCGGCATCAGCGTTTCCCTGGCCGTGGGAGCTGATCTGGCCAAAAAAGCAGCAGCAAACGCAGGATCGGTTTTCCCTGGTGGGAGCTCACCGGGGATCACGTGGATGCTGCGGTGAAGAGCTCTGGGGGCTCTGCCGCTGACGGGCTGAATCGCCCTGCCCTGGGGGAATGGCGCAGCGCTGACCCTTACTTACAGAACGTAAAAAGGAGGGGACGCTGGGGGGAACTGGGGTCCTCTTTAAACGGCACTGGGCTTTCCTCAAAGGCGTGCGGTGATGGGGAACAGGGCGACAGACGCGAGTGGCAGCACGGGATGTTCCGGCTGGCGTTAGGGAAGAGTTCTCGTGGTGAGGGTGGTCAAACGCTGGGATGGGAATAGAGCAGCCTGGCCAGCGGGACCCCCGCCCCCCTCTCAGTTATTCCCGTTCTGTAGAACAGGAGTGCACGTTAGCCGTGTGATTTCTGTTCAAGACAAGCCAGCGTAACCAAAGGTATTTTCTGTCTCCAGAGCAGCTTGGCAGAGTCTCGGTGTCTCCACGAAGGCCAGGTGACCGCTGCCCCGAGGCTCTGGTTTGACGAGCGTGCATGTAGAAATCACCCCGTCAGCTCCGTGTCGGGGAGCCGAGGGTTTTGCCTTGACCTAACTCGCTCTGACTTGGTGCTGCTTGAGTGGCGTTTCCCTTCCTGCCGGGGCAGTTCTCTGCTGGCAGCGCAGCCGTGTACAAACATGGTGCCAGCCTGTGTTTTAAGGCGAGTGGGGTGTGCCATTCCCTTGGAGCAAAGAGGTTTGTGGCAGAGAGCCCTTACAGCTGGGGGAATGCCACCCCCGAGGGGGCTGCGTTTGCATCCAACTAGTCCCTGCAGGGGCTCCAGGAAAGCTGGAGAGGGGCTGGTGCCAAGGGCAGGGAGTGACAGGCCAAGGGGAATGGCCTGAAGCTGCAGGAGGGGAGATGGAGATGGGATGGGAGGCAGCAATCCTTCCCTGTGAGGGTGCTGAGGCCCTGGCCCAGGGTGCCCAGAGAAGCTGTGGCTGCCCCTGGCTCCCTGGCAGTGTTCAAGGCCAGGTTGGATGGGGCTTTGGGCAACCTGGGCTAGTGGAGGGTGTCCCTGCCCATGGCAGGGGTGGCACTGGGTGGGCTGTGGGGTCCCTGCCCACCCAGACCAGGCTGCGGTTCTGGGATTCTGTGATCTTGCAGGAAATCTCAAGCCTATGTCCCTTCTCCATGCACCAGCTTTCATTTCAGCTGGCTTTGGTCTCAAGGTAACGCTGCCGGACCGAGCTGTGGTGCTGGGTCACCGCGCAGCCGTTCCTGGCCCGTTGTGTTCTGGTGTAGTATCCTCCTCGGGCTGCGTCTTTTACTACGAGTAAATCTGGTTTCACCACGAAGCCCAACTAACGCAGCCTTGGAGCAGGAGAGGGGTGAATTCAGAGGGGTGCTGGCCAGCCAGCACCGCCGCAGGAGCGGCCCCAGGCACCCTCCTCGGTGCGGGCAAGGGGCTGGGAAAGGCTCGGAGAAGCTCCGGGTAGGGAGCAGCTCGCCCAGGCGCAGTGAAGTTGCGGCATGATGCACAGCTTGAGATGCACCCTACGTGTGTGTGTGAGCACGTTCCTGAGTTACACGCTAATAATAATAACAACTAAACCCACTGGCCGCTGTAAGCCCGACCGTCGTGCACGTTGGTTTGATGAAGCCTTTCGGTAAGATCTGGTTCTGCTTACGAAGACGTGTTTCTCACACGCCATTGCGCTCCTCTGGCCCTCGGGGCGGGAGGAGAGTTGCTGAGGGGTGAGTTGGAACGTGTTGGTGGTGGTGGTGGGGTGGTTCAGGGCTTTAGGCATCCATAGATCCCAGGGAAGCCAAAAGCAAGGTGCTCGGGGGCTTTTGCTGGCCAAAAGGGTTTTGTCAGTGTGCCAGGGAACATTTATCACGTGTTGTACGCGTAGTAAAAATCAGCAGGTTAAAATGACAGACGGACTCTGCAAGTGTAGAGTGACGTGTTCTTCTGAACGTGCCCCCGTGACGATGCCCACCCAGGCTAACGACGGGTCAGGGTCTGTGCAGGCTACAGGAGCGTATCCGGACCTCGCTCCAAAGGATGCTGCCGCTCCTTTTGGTAATTCTTGGTTTGATGTTGTAGGAGGAGGAGAATTTGCGTTCTCAAGTCAGGGACCTGGAGGAGAAATTGGAGACTCTGAAGATAAAGCGAAATGAAGACAAGGCAAAGCTTAAAGAGCTGGAGAAGTACAAGATCCAGCTGGAGCAGGTGCAAGAATGGAAGAGCAAAATGCAAGAGCAACAGGCTGATCTGCAGAAACGATTAAAGGAGGCCAAAAAGGTGAGCTCCCCGGGGAGCTGGGCAGCTCCGGTTCTGGGCTTGCACAGGGAGCCGCGATTCCAGGGCTAGTTCAGTTGCTGAAAATGCACGCGGGGTTTCTAATGAAACGTCAGCTAGTGTGAAACTGCGTGCTGTCCTGTCTTCTGAATGCGTGCTGGGTCCTCAAATAGCCTCTGACCTCACATATCGTGGTTCTCTCCGGTGTAGACATTGATTTCGGTATTGAGCTGCCAGTGCAAACGCCAGACGCAGTCAGGCTACGCTGCGTGTTTGATGCGGCGTGCCAGCGAGGGTCTGGTCCATCAGCGCGGTAGCACATGCAGCTTGTCCTGGAGCTGAAGTCACGGCTCTGTTCTCTAACCACACCGGGTGCCAGAGCAGACAGAGCAGGGTCCCAGCCCGATCGCAGGGTCCCAGTCTGCCTCAGCCGCTGAGCGCGGGCGTGCGAATCCTCCCCACTCCGGTGTCGGGCTGTAAATGGGTGCCCCCTCCCCCAGGTGCTGTTGCTTTTCTGGCCTGCTCTGGAGCAGGTTCCTCTCTCTGTTTGCTTCCCCGGGAAGTCCTGATCCCAACTTTCTAATGTAGACTTTAATTTCTTAAAACCCATCTCCCTTTAGCTAAACTAAGCCATTTTGAGCTCCTGCCCTGCAGGGCTGGCTGGTGTGAGTCACTGCCAGCGAAAGCCACGGGGCTTCGGAGCTAATGAATCCTAGTTGCTCGTTATGGAGAACGTTTCTGCTGTGGCCACTCTGCTCCTGCTGTTGGGTGTCGTTTGCAAAATCTGCAGCAGGCCAGCCATTTCCCTCTTTCCATTCTCACCAGGGATGGGTGACCTGTGCTTCGCGCAGCCGCTCCCAGGCAGACGGTGGGATGCCGGCCGTGCTGGCAAAGGGGCTTTTGCTTCTCTCTGCCCTGGTTTTCCAGGGCAGATTCTTGGGTTGTTTCCCCAGTGATTTATTTGCTTGTCTGCTCCAGTACAAGCCTACGTATTTCTGTCTTCATACCTGTGTCTCCTCACCTGCAGATCGCTTTTCTGCTGGGCTCTTTTGTGGATGGGAGCAGGCGTGAAGCAGGGGATGGGGGAGACGGGCACCCCGGAGCAGTGGCAGCGGTCCAGATCAGATGTTGTTAATCGGACTTGATCCTCCCGCGAGAGAGCCATGAGAGCCATAATTGTCCGAGGCTCGTTGTGAGAGGTGTCTCTCCGTCATTGGCCTTGGGCTCCTGGGTCTTCTCACTCGCGTGTGCTTGACCGCAGGAAGCCAAAGATGCCTTGGAAGCCAAGGAGCGGTACATGGAGGAGATGGCAGACACCGCCGATGCGATTGAAATGGCAACCCTGGACAAGGAGATGGCAGAGGAGCGAGCGGAGTCCCTGCAGCAGGAGGTGGACTCCCTGAAAGAGAAGGTGGAATATCTCACAATGGACCTGGAGATCCTGAAGCATGAGATCGAAGAGAAAGGTGGGAAGGGGTCAGCTTTTGGGAGGTCTCAGCCTGGATCCTACTGCACAGGGGAGCTCCAAAGTGGGGAGGAGAGCGCTCGGCCGCTTCAGAGCAGCAGTGGCTCCTCGCTGCCGGCTGTGGGGAGCTGAGGCTTTGCCTCTGCAATTGTCCCCATCAGCCGTCGGGGCTTTCTGCTGTGTCCCCGGCCCTGCGTGGCAGGCACAGGGACGCCGTCAGACGTGGGCAGGTCAGCAGCAGCTCAGCGTCATCTTCGCTCGGGTGCCAGCCTCGCTGAGAAGGCAGAGATGGAGCTGCTGTGCTCTTAAGTCTGGGGACAAGTGTTCCTGTCCTGGGCTTAGAGGAGCTCAGGCTTAGTTTTAATGCTTGTCATTTTTCCTGGGGATGGTGGATCTCACCCCAAAAGGTGGTTTGACTGGGACAGGCTTGATGTGGGAGGTAACACAACTGCATTTGTTGCTCACCGATCCGATCTCCCAGCTTTGCACTGAGCACAGCTTCAAAACGAGCGCATTGCCCTTGTTTTGATTCTCCTGGGGCCTTTTAGCTCTTGCTGTTCAAAAATTACACACAGCAGGAAACGAGCCAGCCATTAAACGCTTGTTGTGTTGGCATTCACCTGAAACCAAAATCAAGCCCGTAGAAGCAGCCGATGATCAGGCAGGCAGGCTGAGGGATGTGACGGAAAGGTAGATGTGTTGAGGGACCGGGAAAGATGTCGGGAGGACAGGAGTAGTCTGCAGGGAGGTGTGGAAATTACTGAGGTGAGCTACGTCGTTCATTTGAGTTTGCTTTCGCTGAATTGTGAGGGCCGGGAGGGTTGAGAGCTGAGAGCACTCACGGTGCCCAGCAATGTGTAACTGCCATAGCCCAGCTCAGGGACAGTCTGCGGGTTGTTGGTGGTTCTTCATCTGCACTAACAGGCTTTGGTGGCATCGGGGGACTCGGCCTGCGAGCGCCAGCATTATGCACCAGGCTTCAGTTTTGTGCTGTTGCAGGAGAAGAACTGATGCGTTTCCCCTTAGCTGTCCTCTTAGTGGCGTTTGTGTGAGCAGAATAATGCTTCCTTCCTACTGCAGGCTCGGATGGAGCAGCGTCCAGTTACCAAGTCAAACAGTTGGAAGAGCAAAACGCGAGACTCAAGGAAGCTCTTGTAAGGTAGGAGACCACTCGTGCTCCCCAAAGGCCGGGATGCTGCCGATGAAGCTCCTTCCTGTGGCGTCTCCTGCTCTCTTGGCCTAACAGCAGTTTGTGTCAGAGCTCTGATCCAAATACTCGCCAGAGCGGCCGATGTAACACCTGCTCGCTGGGCTTGTGTTGTTTCTGTGCTCCTTTAGGCATGCAACGGAGAAGGGAAAATCTCTTGTCACAGGAGACACTCGGGAGAAAACGAGCCGCTTCAGAAAGCTTCTGTATTTCCTCTCCCTGTGTGTGCGGTGCTCTGCTTCCCCAGCACAGCTGCGGGTTTATTCAAGCAGCCTGGACAGGGCAGTTCCCAGGCGCCTCCTGCTCGAGGTTTCCTGAGCCCGTGCAGCGCTGGGACCCCGTTGTTGCCTTTCCCTGGGCCGGCCCATCTGCCAGGGCTTGGGGCTTCGGGGCGTTTCTCTCTGGAAGCCACACGTGCTTTAGCCTAGAGGTTTGGGAAGGGTCCCTGTGGTCCCCCACACCACTGCTCGCTGTGCAGCCCCGCTCCTCCCGGGGGGCTGTGGCTGTGTGCAGGGTGCTGCCTGGCCTTTGGGGCAGAAAACAGCCTGTGCTTAAGGTGAATTATTCTGTAGGCCAGAGGCAGAGGAGGTGGAAGCATCCCCTCCTGACAGGGAAGACAAGAAACTGCCTTGCGAGGCCTTCCAAACCAGCGCGTGTCTGGGGTGGGGGTGCAGAGGAGGTTTGGACCTCCCGTGAGAGCAGCTCCCAGCGCTTGCGCTCGCTGGGCAGAGCCGCTTCGGGGCACAGCGGCCTCAATGTACGTGTAAGCAAAGCTCTGCTCTCTGTGCGTGGCGAAACGCCTTTCCTTGTCTGTGCTTTCCTTTTTTCTGCTGCTGACCTTCTGTTTTACGCTGTGAAAGGCTGTGAATGTGACTTGCTTTTCTTTGCTCACCGGGTTCTTCCTTTCTGTGCTTTAGCCTGTCCCATTTACAGTTACTCTTCCCTGCCTCTCGCCCGTGCTCTCTGTTGTCTGTTTTTCTACATTCTCCTCGTCTGGTCTCTCCGTCCCCTCTTGCTGTCATTCTTCCAAAGGAAGGTGCCGTCTCGGGCACCGGTCCCCCCCATCCCTTGCTGTTACTGAGCGTTCTCTGGGGACACTGCTCGTGTCCCCCCAGGACGGGGCTGCCAGAGGCTCCAAAGGAGCCAGCGCCAGCGAGGGCAGGGGGTCTTGACTCTGCCGGTGCCCCCAAGGGCAGTGTCTGGGAGGGGAAGGGCGTCTCTTCCTCTGGTTCCTGGGTCTCTGCTGGGCTTGTGATGAGTCTGGCTGCTCTCTCACAGGATGCGGGACTTGTCTGCATCAGAGAAGCAGGAACATGTGAAGCTCCAGAAGCAAATGGAGAAGAAGAACACGGAGCTGGAGTCCCTGCGTCAGCAGAGGGAGAAGCTTCAGGAGGAGGTGAAGCAGGCGGAGAAAACGGTGGATGAGCTAAAGGAGCAGGTGAGTCTGTTGGGGGAAGGAGAGGCGAGGAGGGGAAGTCTGGGGCCATTGGGGGCATCGAGCAACTGCTGTCAGGGAAGCTTGGGCCACCTCCTGGGACAGAGCGGCTCTTGGAGGGTGATACACCTGCAGGGACTAATGCTGCTAGGGTCCTGTGCCAAAGCAAACACTGTTCCAGCAGTGGAATGGTGCTGGACTCTGCTTGGCCATAGGTGGCTCTGGAACATCGGACGTGGACGGGACGTCACGCTTCCGAGGGCGGATCTGTGTTTGCTGCTTGCTCAGTGCTGATCCATCAGATCTTCCTGCCTGGGCAATCTTCATGGGGCTTGTTCCTGGCCAGGCTGGGACCGGTGCGAGTGTGGGACAGCCCGCAGGAAGCCCCCAGAAGGATCTGTGTTCACAGCAGAGCAATTCCTCTGAACTGCTGTTCTGGAGGGACGCCGGCCTGAGCAGTAGCCTGAGTTTCGGAGGTGGGCTGTTAGCAGAGGTGATGCTTCTTAGTGCAAAGAGACTGAAATGCCCCTTCCTCCATGAGTCCTGTAAGTGTTCAACCACTCGCCTCGGTCCTCCGGGCAGACAGCGAGCTTGGAGAGCACTGTCAGAAGTCTGTGAAGACTCAGCCCTGAAGGTCAGTGTCATTTACACTGACCTGAAACTGTTCAGCCTTGTGCCCTGGTGCTGCAGCCACAGAGCCAGTAACACCTCTGGGAGCCAATGCCAAACCTCTCTTTTCATGTGCCCTTCCTTCTGGGGCTGCTGGCCATTCTGGGTTTTGTTTGCTCTCCTGAGGGACGCTGTTCTCTGCTCTCAGGAGGGAGCTTACGCACGGTCTGGCAAACCCTCACCGCAGGATGGGGAGACAGATGCATCAGCCGTGTCCCACGGCTTGCCAGGGTGATCCCTCGGTGGTACCAAAGGACTTCAGAGCCGCTTGCTGCAGCATGTTGAGCTCCAGGCTGGAGTGTGACGTGGTGTGTGCTTGCAGGTGGATGCTGCTTTGGGTGCTGAAGAGATGGTGGAGACTCTGACGGAGAGGAACTTGGACCTGGAGGAGAAGGTCCGGGAGCTGCGTGAGACGGTTGGGGACCTGGTAAGATGGACTCCTGGAGTGGGGGCTGGTAACAGAGCGCTTGTGCCGCTTCCTCCACGCCTGCTGTGCGGCTAGGCTGGTGCGAGGGCTGGTCCAGCCGACTGCCAGGCGGCAAGGCTGCCCGAGGTGCTGGGTGCTGCCGGCAGCGGTGCCAGAGGGAGCTGGGGAACCTCTGTGCTGCTTCCGAGCGAGGCACCCTTCTGCTCTGCAGAAGATGCCCCTTCCAGCCCCAGGTGCCCCTCTGCCCTGCTGCCAAAGTGCCCGGCTGCCCTCGCTTGCTCGGCCGTGGTGTAACCGCGTCCCGCGCTGCCTCCTCCTTGCCAGGAAGCCATGAATGAGATGAATGACGAGCTGCAGGAGAACGCCCGGGAGACAGAGCTGGAGTTACGGGAGCAGCTGGATATGGCGACGGCACGGGTCCGCGAGGCAGAGAAGCGCGTGGAGGCTGCACAAGAGACCGTGGCTGACTACCAGCAGACCATCAAAAAATACAGAGAGCTGACAGCACACCTCCAGGTGCGGCTCTTCGGCAGCCCTTCCAGTTCCCGCTGGAGCTGTGCTCCTCTGGGAGCCTGCCTCGGTGACGAGGAGATGCAGTGTGTGTAGGCAGGAGCATTCCTGGGGAGGGGGGCAGGCACAGCACGCTGCCTTCCGCTCTCGAGGGAGACAGGCACGGCAGGCCGATGCC